TTTATTAATTTAAAATTATCACAGATTGGTTTTTAAAAGTAAATTTAAGTTTTATCATCCTTACTCAAATTTTGAAGATTCATTTTGTGTATCGGGCAAAGATTGATTTAAATCATTATAGTTTGAGTTCCATATCGAACTGGTTTGCAAATCCTAAAAAAAAAAAAAAAATTTTTTTAATTACTAATTGATAGCAACAAAATGTATTTAGTTGAAATACAAAAAACATGAAAGCATTGTTAAAAAAAAAAGATTAATTTTTTAAAAATGAACTATGCAACAATTACTTACTTGTAAAACTGATTTATTTACATTCGGACTGGAAGAAGGTAAAATTTTTGTTTTATTTTTATAAGACATTTTAGATGTGGCTAAATTTGAAACAATATTATCAAACATTTTTTTATTTTCTAAATTTATTTCCTCCTCTCCCTGATTTTGAAGAGCTAATTCAATTAATTGAATTAATATGTCAGGAGTAAGAAATCTATTAGTTAAAAAATTATGCTCTTTTAAAATTCTTAACGATGAATTCATGGTTTGTAGCAAATCCAATTCGAATTTCATCAATGTGCACAATGTTTCTTTGCATACATTGGTTATCACTTTAAGCTTTTTCTGTGAAATTGTTTTATATTTTTCCTTTAATAAATTTTCTTCATGCTCACTGTTTGGCAAAGAATTAGGCACTTCTGCATCGGATGATAATTTATTACAATTATTTAAATTTTCAGAGTTATTTTTATTTATTTTATCATCATTCACAGATTTAATAGAATTTTCATTTATTGAATCATTAAAATCAGATGTCAATCTATCTTCTTTTTTTCTTTTGGCTTTTTTCGATGAATCACTATCGGAAAATTTTCTTTTTTTCGTTTTGATCGTTTTTATTTTGGCCTTTTTCACTTTAGTATTTTTATCGACTAATTTCAAAAGTTTGTTTTCTTCAATTTTATTTACATTTTCATGTATAATTTCTATGTCAAAATCATTTTCTTCACTTGCAGTTTCTGCAAAAAAAAAAAAATATTGTGCTTAAATTAATACTTACAAGATTCGAGTAAAAAATTCATTTTATTAGCTGTTAAATAAAAAGCAATTTACCAGGTAAATGTTTGTTAACAGTCTCCATTTTTCTGCTTTAATTTTGGATAAATCTCATTGTATAATATTTTATTTACTTAAAAAACTTATATATTTTATTTCTGCAAAAAAAAACTACATATTTAATTTTTTAAGTAAAAATCTTAATGTGGAAATCCAGACAATGTATAGAAAAGTTATTATGAAAATGTACAAAAAAAAAAAAAACATTTAATTTTATAAGAAATTATAAATACCTTTATAAATCACTTTTAAAAAAAATTTAATTTCACAAAATTATAATATTTTCAAATAGGATAAAATTTTTTTCAAGTAAGTAGTTTAAAATATGCATTTAAATTTATAATTTTTATTTTAGTCCTTTAAATCTCTTTTTTTTTTTTTTTATATGTATAGCGAAAAATTTTTTATGTTTTTATTGTTTTATTATTTAATACTAAATCTAAATCTAACTAATAAAAGTTTTAAAAAATTAAAAACTTTTTATTATTTAAATTTAGATCTTTTAATATTTTACTTAACATTATAAACAGAATTTTCACTTAAAAACTTTCAAATATTTAAAATAACTTTGTTTTTAAAAACGTGTAAATGATGCTATCTGAATATTTAAACCGCGGGATTATTAGACCATAGACATAAACAAAATTTGAATTTAAATATTTCGACATGTCACGCGTAAAAATAATTTATTATTAAAATAATTTTTCAAAATAAATCTATTTATTCAATTTTAATTTTTATATAACTCCGTATAAATTCCGTATAACTATAATATAAGTATATTATTTAAAACAAACCTGAAAACGATAATTTTTTTTTAATATAAAAAAAGAAGGTACGACTTAAATGTAAGTTGGAAATAAATAAAAAAAAACCGTTAAAAAAATATGAATGAAAATAATTAAAAACGTTTCTTATTTTTATGATTTATTTATTTTTTTTTTTGTACAAAAAATTGTTTTGAAAAAACTTTCGAATTGAAATATTTATTAAAACACACATTAAAGCAGTACAGTAAAAAAAAAAAAAAAATTGAAATTTTATTTAAAATAAATACACTGACTAATAAAACTCAATAGAGTCAAAGTAATTATAATTAAAAGTATAATTGTAACAACACACTTACATCTAATATTATTAATATTGCTACAAATTGAGATTTAAATAACTTATTAATAATAATAATAAAAAGGATAATAATAAGAAATAAGGTCTTTAAAAAAACCTTAATTGTACTTGTACACAGTCACAGTAAATAAAAAAATTTCAAGAACTTAAATAATATTTTCCATTTCTTTTTTTTTTTGGCATATTCACCACCTTACATAAAAAAAAAAAACATATATAAATAATAATAATAATAAAAATAAAAACTTAAATTTATAAGTTACATATATAAAAAATTACATATTATATATATAATAAAATATAAAAAAATTTAATTCTAATTATTATTATTTTAAAATACCCATTAATTTGTTTTTATAATATATATAAAAACAACAAATATATATAGTGATACATAAAATTTCATTAATTATTTATTAATATGTAATAAAGTCATGATTTAATTAATTTTTTAAATTCTGATACATAAATCAGTTTTAAATTATTACCAAATACAATAAAACACAATTTAAAAAAAATATTATTAAGTAATAAAAATATAATTGTAATTATTGTCTCATTCGAGCTTAATAATATATATATA